CAAGGCTATGGCCAAAAAAATCAATAACAATTCTTTTTGGTGCTTGTGTACCAAGTCTATACACAATATAAAGTTAATTGATGGCAAGGCTATGGCCAAAAAAATCAATAACAATTCTTTTTGGTGCTTGTGTACCAAGTCTATACACAATATAAAGTTAATTGATGGCAAGGCTATGGCCAAAAAAATCAATAACAATTCTTTTTGGTGCTTGTGTACCAAGTCTATACAAATCAATAACAATTCTTTTTGGTGCTTGTGTACCAAGTCTATACACAATATAAAGTTAATTGATGGCAAGGCTATGGCCAAAAAAATCAATAACAATTCTTTTTGGTGCTTGTGTACCAAGTCTATACACAATATAAAGTTAATTGATGGCAAGGCTATGGCCAAAAAAATCAATAACAATTCTTTTTGTGCTTGTGTACCAAGTCTATACACAATATAAAGTTAATTGATGGCAAGGCTATGGCCAAAAAAATCAATAACAATTCTTTTTGGTGCTTGTGTACCAAGTCTATACACAATATAAAGTTAATTGATGGCAAGGCTATGGCCAAAAAAATCAATAACAATTCTTTTTGGTGCTTGTGTACCAAGTCTATACACAATATAAAGTTAATTGATGGCAAGGCTATGGCCAAAAAAATCAATAACAATTCTTTTTGGTGCTTGTGTACCAAGTCTATACACAATATAAAGTAATTGATGGCAAGGCTATGGCCAAAAAAATCAATAACAATTCTTTTTGGTGCTTGTGTACCAAGTCTATACACAATATAAAGTTAATTGATGGCAAGGCTATGGCCAAAAAAATCAATAACAATTCTTTTTGGTGCTTGTGTACCAAGTCTATACACAATATAAAGTTAATTGATGGCAAGGCTATGGCCAAAAAAATCAATAACAATTCTTTTTGGTGCTTGTGTACCAAGTCTATACACAATATAAAGTTAATTGATGGCAAGGCTATGGCCAAAAAATCAATAACAATTCTTTTTGGTGCTTGTGTACCAAGTCTATACACAATATAAAGTTAATTGATGGCAAGGCTATGGCCAAAAAAATCAATAACAATTCTTTTTGGTGCTTGTGTACCAAGTCTATACACAATATAAAGTTAATTGATGGCAAGGCTATGGCCAAAAAAATCAATAACAATTCTTTTTGGTGCTTGTGTACCAAGTCTATACACAATATAAAGTTAATTGATGGCAAGGCTATGGCCAAAAAAATCAATAACAATTCTTTTTGGTGCTTGTGTACCAAGTCTATACACAATATAAAGTTAATTGATGGCAAGGCTATGGCCAAAAAATCAATAACAATTCTTTTGGTGCTTGTGTACCAAGTCTATACACAATATAAGTTAATTGATGGCAAGGCTATGGCCAAAAAAATCAATAACAATTCTTTTTGGTGCTTGTGTACCAAGTCTATACACAATATAAAGTTAATTGATGGCAAGGCTATGGCCAAAAAAATCAATAACAATTCTTTTTGGTGCTTGTGTACCAAGTCTATACACAATATAAAGTTAATTGATGGCAAGGCTATGGCCAAAAAAATCAATAACAATTCTTTTTGGTGCTTGTGTACCAAGTCTATACACAATATAAAGTTAATTGATGGCAAGGCTATGGCCAAAAAAATCAATAACTTCTTTTTGGTGCTTGTGTACCAAGTCTATACACAATATAAAGTTAATTGATGGCAAGGCTATGGCCAAAAAAATCAATAACAATTCTTTTTGGTGCTTGTGTACCAAGTCTATACACAATATAAAGTTAATTGATGGCAAGGCTATGGCCAAAAAAATCAATAACAATTCTTTTTGGTGCTTGTGTACCAAGTCTATACACAATATAAAGTTAATTGATGGCAAGGCTATGGCCAAAAAATCAATAACAATTCTTTTTGGTGCTTGTGTACCAAGTCTATACACAATATAAAGTTAATTGATGGCAAGGCTATGGCCAAAAAATCAATAACAATTCTTTTTGGTGCTTGTGTACCAAGTCTATACACAATATAAAGTTAATTGATGGCAAGGCTATGGCCAAAAAAAATCAATAACATTCTTTTTGGTGCTTGTGTACCAAGTCTATACACAATATAAGTTAATTGATGGCAAGGCTATGGCCAAAAAATCAATAACAATTCTTTTTGGTGCTTGTGTACCAAGTCTATACACAATATAAAGTTAATTGATGGCAAGGCTATGGCCAAAAAAATCAATAACAATTCTTTTTGGTGCTTGTGTACCAAGTCTATACACAATATAAAGTTAATTGATGGCAAGGCTATGGCCAAAAAAATCAATAACAATTCTTTTTGGTGCTTGTGTACCAAGTCTATACACAATATAAAGTTAATTGATGGCAAGGCTATGGCCAAAAAAATCAATAACAATTCTTTTTGGTGCTTGTGTACCAAGTCTATACACAATATAAAGTTAATTGATGGCAAGGCTATGGCCAAAAAAATCAATAACAATTCTTTTTGGTGCTTGTGTACCAAGTCTATACACAATATAAAGTTAATTGATGGCAAGGCTATGGCCAAAAAAATCAATAACAATTCTTTTTGGTGCTTGTGTACCAAGTCTATACACAATATAAAGTTAATTGATGGCAAGGCTATGGCCAAAAAAATCAATAACAATTCTTTTTGGTGCTTGTGTACCAAGTCTATACACAATATAAAGTTAATTGATGGCAAGGCTATGGCCAAAAAAATCAATAACAATTCTTTTTGGTGCTTGTGTACCAAGTCTATACACAATATAAAGTTAATTGATGGCAAGGCTATGGCCAAAAAAATCAATAACAATTCTTTTTGGTGCTTGTGTACCAAGTCTATACACAATATAAAGTTAATTGATGGCAAGGCTATGGCCAAAAAATCAATAACAATTCTTTTTGGTGCTTGTGTACCAAGTCTATACACAATATAAAGTTAATTGATGGCAAGGCTATGGCCAAAAAAATCAATAACAATTCTTTTTGGTGCTTGTGTACCAAGTCTATACACAATATAAAGTTAATTGATGGCAAGGCTATGGCCAAAAAAATCAATAACAATTCTTTTTGGTGCTTGTGTACCAAGTCTATACACAATATAAAGTTAATTGATGGCAAGGCTATGGCCAAAAAAATCAATAACAATTCTTTTGGTGCTTGTGTACCAAGTCTATACACAATATAAAGTTAATTGATGGCAAGGCTATGGCCAAAAAAATCAATAACAATTCTTTTTGGTGCTTGTGTACCAAGTCTATACACAATATAAAGTTAATTGATGGCAAGGCTATGGCCAAAAAATCAATAACAACATTCTTTTGGTGCTTGTGTACCAAGTCTATACACAATATAAAGTTAATTGATGGCAAGGCTATGGCCAAAAAAATCAATAACATTCTTTTTGGTGCTTGTGTACCAAGTCTATACACAATATAGTTAATTGATGGCAAGGCTATGGCCAAAAAAATCAATAACAATTCTTTTTGGTGCTTGTGTACCAAGTCTATACACAATATAAAGTTAATTGATGGCAAGGCTATGGCCAAAAAAATCAATCAAAAGTGTTTGACTTGATATTTCTCAAGTCGAGTCGAAGTTTGGTGGAAAATGTATTAAGTTAACCACGCTGTTTAATAGGGTGATTGGTTGGGGAACAAAACGCACTTTTGGAAGAATGTGTGGTGTGGTGACCTTTCTTTCACAGAGCTATTCCCTAACTTATATGCTACTGAGACCTACAAAGACTGTTTAATAAAAGATATCAGTTTAATATGGGGCTTGGCCATTAGATAAATCTTACTGTTGGGGATGGTCTAGAGAGTTGAGAATAGCTAGAAGTGTTTATAAAATTTTCAGTTTTGACCAATATGATTGAATGATTTTCAATTCCGCGAAATCCTTAAGGCAAAATTCTAGATAATTTCAATTCAGATGGCATGACCTCGTTTCAATGGAGTAAGATGGATTCCCTTGAAGATTAACTGCTTTGTTTGGAGATGATCAAAAATAGAATTATGTTATTTCCGAATCTAATGAGGTGTGGTGTCCTTGTTGCTTCCAATCTTTGTCATTGATCATGTTTTCTTCACTTGTACTTACGTTTCTAGTATATGGAATTGGTTGGTGGAGTGGTCGAAGGTTTTACAAGGGCAACCTTCTCTATGCCTTGATATGGTGAAGATGATCACTTCGAATGCTAGTGACAAGAAAATTCACAAGTTGAGGTTGGCCTTAGATTATTATTGTATTGTGTGGTTGATATGGAAAGCTAGAAATGCTTAGGTTGCTTTTCTCATCTTCTCTTTGGTGTTTGTTGGAACAAGTCTATACACAAATGATCGTTAATTGTTTGAGGCTTGGCTTTTCTGGATCGTGGTTCCCTCGCTTCTTTCTCCTTCACCTATGTTAATTGATGGCAAGGCTGTTGTCCAAAAAATTGATTGGCTTCTTCTTGGGTGCTTTTGTACGTCTATTGCCCAAATAAGTTTTTTTTTTTATTGATTGAGGTTGTCTGTTTGTTTAAGTTTTTTGGTAGAGGTGTTTTTATTAGTTCTTTGTACTTCTTGTTGCTTTGTTTGTCCATGTATCTCTTTTTGGTTGTCCAGTCTATACACCTGGATCAATAACAAGTTTTTGCTCCTGGTGTGCTTTTTTTTATTCTTGGTACATACATACACAATTACCAATTGTTCTAAAAAGGCACTGAATCTCCCAACACATTGCAATTGAAGAATGTAACAAATTTATTATTTAAACTACTTAAAGGAGTTCACATCACTAAAGCAGGAGTTATCTTTTTCTTCCATGGGTTTTCTAAATTCCTCAAATCAAATCTACGATATAAAAAACTTCTGAAAAAACATAGAAACAAGATCAAATCAACTCCTTATATCATCATCATCATCACTAGAGAGGGAGAAAAAGAGGATGGGTGGCAATTGCCAAAGAAGCATTTTCACAAAACATCAGATACCCCAAAAAGAACCAAACACATGCAAGCATCATAAAAAAAACATTTTAATTTCACAAAAACATTATTTAAGCACATGACACATCAAGAAGCATTTTCTTCCATTATGTTTGACTAAACAGAACAAAAACGATACCTACTACTCATAAACCCAACTAACAGAACAATCCATCTTCAAAACCAGTACACTGAAATAATGGCAGATCACTTCATTTAGACACTGCTGTACGAGAACCTGTAGTGAAAAAGTACCTTATCAAAAACTCCTTATTTAAGTCGATAAGTGTTTTAATATTCTAATATCCAAACACTTAAACTAGCTTATTATTCATTTATTCTTTTACCTTTTCGTTTAGTTCGTCCACCTGGCGGATTCGGATTGGCTACAGTAAAACCATCTTCATTTCCACACCCTGGAAGTCCATTCAGCAACGAATTTTGGTTCCCCAAACATTGCAAATTCTCAAACTCACACCCATTAACACCTGGATCATGTATTGAAGCATCTTCTGCACTTTTTCCATCAGGATGAAGGCAATAAACCTGATCCCCACATTGCATATTACAAGGATTCATCACATACCCCCCACCCAAATTAACACTCCCCACATTATTCCCAACTGGATTCTGCTTCTGATAAGGAAAAGACCCGATTTCACCTTCAATTCTCCCTCTAATATCCACAAGCAAACACTTCAATCTTGCCACCTCACCTTCCAACCCTGCTTGACTCTGAATCCTCTTCATTAATTGTTGATTCAAAGCTCTTAATCTAACCACTTCATCTTCCAAAGAAGCAGCACGTGCTTTCTTTTTTTCCCGATATTTTCTTACAGCTTCACGGTTTCCTATAGGTCGTTTTTTACCTTTCTTTTCTGCTGACTCAGCAGTGTCATCTGTGGGGGTTTTGTCATCATCTCCACTAATGGCGGGAACGATTTTGGTGTGGACATGGTAGCAGGTGTGGGTGTGGGAGGAATCAGGGCCTGGTGGGTTGCATGTGTGGGTGTGGGTGCATGCATGTGCGTCCTTGAAAATCTCATCAAAGAAACTGCCCATTGAATCATTGCTGGGAATGTCACCGATGTTTGCAGCTGGAAACATTTCTTGGGTTGAGAAATCGAGTTCTCCGTCCTCCATTGTTGAATTTGGTGATTTGGTTTTATAACTTGGATAAAAGTTTTAACCCATTTGTCTCGATGAATTTCAGTTCTTCTTGTGTCAGAATTGAAACCCTATGAGTTCAAGAAAGATGAATCAACATGTTAGATATTTGAGATAATTCGTGTAAAACAAATTAACTGAAAATCTCGAAAGGGTCGGAATGCGATCAATCAAAAAGTTGAAGACTTCAAACGGATTGTCAGATTAAAAGAGGTGGAAGGAAACCCTAGAAATCTAGAAACCATGGATAATTGCAAAACCAATAACAGAGATAGTAACTCTAGAGTGAAGAATAAGAAAAGCAAAAATTTGCAAAAACAAAGTATGTAAAAGGTCTTGAGCCACGCAATTGTAATGCGTTTCTCAATAATCGAGCTTTGGTCGAATAAAAAAAGTTGAGGGATTAATTAAATGATTTACCTGTAAACAAACCCTACAATCCGGAGAATTGCTCGACTGACCTGTAAATTCAGAAAATAGAGATAATAAGTTTCGAGGAAAAAGAAGGAACGCTAAAAATCCACAAACATTGATTAAAGAACTCGAATAACACCAGTGCTATGCGATTTTCACAAATCGAAGAGAATTTGATTAAAAGTCTGAAGAATTTAAACAGAAATTCGTAAATTGAAAGAGCAAAGTTACCTTTAAGAAACCCCTAGAATTATCAGAATCGCTCAACCGAGTTGTAAGACCTGAAACCAGAGATTGTAAGTGTGCAAGGGGAAGAAACCCTAGAAAAGGGATTGATAATTTGATATCAATGGCGAGATGAAAACGATCGAAGAAGGACCATTCGTTTATGGAATCTGCAGAAGTACAAAGAACGGGGGAGACTTTTTTTAATAATTGTACGATCAAAAATGTCGATTTAGCGAATTTTAACGAAGGTAAAGGAAAGGGAACGAAAAGAAATTGATGCCGTCTTCAGGGTTATTTTGTTTATCTTAATCTTTATTTTTTAATAGAAAAGTGGTTTTAGCTTAATCTAAGAAAATTTTAAAAAAAATCTCCATATTTTAAGAAAAATTTTAATAAAATCCTAAAAAAAGAAAAGTTCGACTATTTACATTTTTTAATAGAAAACTTCAAAAAAAAATGTTTATTTTTTTTACTTTAGTTCTTTTTGACCTATTCAGCAGGTCATAAGACCAAATCATTAATTTTTCCAAAATAATGGGATGTACAGATTTCGTCAAAATTGTATATATAATGTATAAACATATTTTTTATGTATTTATATCTATTTTTTCGTATTTATGTATTTCTTTTTAAGTTTTTAAATGTATATGTTTACATATTTTTATATATTTTAAATGTATAAATGTATTTATATGTATTTTTAAATATTTTACATATTTTTATGTATTTTTATGTGTTATTTTTTGATGTATTATGTATTTATTGTTGGATTAGGTGTCTAAGCTCATAACTATATTTGATATGTACTTGATCCGATAGTAGCATGGTTTTTTGGGTTGCCTTCACCAAAGCAACTTGATTGGATGAATAATTGAGAAAGAGGATAAATGTGATTTATTAATATATTATGAGAATAATATATTAAAAGAGAAATCATATTATTTCATTAATATTGGTCAAGAATTAATTTAGAATTAGTTTTGTTGTCAAAAGATGTTAATTAAATTAAGGGGACTGATATTGTGATTATAAGATAATTGAAATATGGGCTGAGGAACCCTTAGGAAAGGGGTGGGCGAAATCTTATGGAAGCCCATAAGGATTTCGTCCAAGACTAGGTGTTGTAGAAGATTCCTATGGGCTGCTTAGGGCTTAAGCAACCAGATTAGGTATTTGACTGAACTCTTCACATATATAAAGACCCCCTTGGTATCTGATTTTCGGCTACACTAAACCCTAAGGATCCCTAGAGCCGAAATTAGCCTTCCTCCTATCTCTCTAATATTCTCCAATTGCTTTTGGTGTTTGTGATCTATTAGAGGCATCACATTTGAGGTGTTAAGTTCTCAAAGGTTTTAAGGTTATCAAGCTACAATTGAAAGGTATGTTTCTAACTTGTTTTAGTCATAGTTTTCGATTTATATATGATAGATTTAGGGTTTACAAGCTTTGGATGATTGTTGTATGTACAACTAGAAAAACTTAGATCCAAAGCTTTAGGGTTTGCATGTGCACCATAAGATTGATGTTTTGCTCAAAACCTATCAGTTGTATCAGAGACTAGGTCGTTTTTCTATTATATTTGATGCATAGTTAAATTGTTCAAAGTTGAAAAAGTCGAAAAATCTGCTTCTGCCTGATGAACTCGTCGAGTCCCCTGATGAACTCGACGAGTCAGTGTTGTGACTCGACGAGTCGGCTCGTCTGTTAGCAGATTGTTCGGGATTTTGACTTGAATGGGGTTGGGATAATTACCATAAACATTTTTAACTGATAAAATTCGATTTTTCAATATAGTATTGGTTATCCTCATCTAATTAGAAGATAATTGTTAAATAATAAGATAATTACTTGTTTATATGATAAAATAAATTATTTGTATTATTTAATATGAATTATCTTGCCATAAATTGAATTAGGTCAAATTTAGATAATCACAAGTTATTTGATTAATTAAATTATTTGAAATTTGATCTAGAAGGTTTTGAAAAGTTTCAAAACTTGCCCTCAAGTTTTGGAATTTAAATTTTTGATTAATAGTTTTAATTTTGAAATATTTAAATTCTAACACCTAGAATTTTACAAATTTAAAATTCAACCCTTATACTATTATAATTTTAAAATTAATATATTATATATATATATATATATATATATATATATATATATATATATATACTATATATATAAGATGAGCTGCTCTTACCGTTAGTAAGCCTCATTCACGAAGTTGGTCTATAAGGGTGTTTGAAGAAGCGGCCTATAAAATGACCGTCATTGGGTATCCACTCTTACCCACCGCACTCTTGACTAGTGGAGGGTTGTAACATCCCAAAATTCAAGGCCAAAAATTTCATTTTTAATTAGGTTATTACATAAAACAAAGTGTGAATAATCAAAATATAATATTATGAAACCATATCAGAGTATAATCCCAAGGATCTCGTGTGCGGAAAACATAGTGTGATGCGCTGCGATCAAGCCGGCTCATTTCCTTTGCAAACAAAGCACCTGAAACCAAAACTGTAAACCGTAAGCACGAAGCTTAGTGAGTTCCCCCATCATACCACATACCACATAATACCATCGGTATCTTTCAACCGGTAACTACCATCGGTATCTTTCAACCGGTAACCGGGGACTATTTCACCCCTAGCATTATCACATAGTAATATATCATAAACATACTGATCACGTACTAACATCATAAACATGTTGATCACATACTAACATCATAAACATGTTGATCACACACTAACATCATAAACAGACAAATAAGCATTGTATGGGTTCTGTATACCCCTTCGGTATCTTTCAACCGGTATCCACCATCGGTATCTTTCAACCGGTATCCGCCATCAGTATCTTTCAACATCGGTATCTTTCAACCGGTATCCGCCATCGGTATCTTTCAACCGATATCCGCCATCGATATCTTTCAACCGGTAACCGGGGACTAATTCACCCCCACCACTATCATATAATAACATGTCATAAACATATTGGTTCCATGATAACATAACATAAACATACTGAATCACATAATGGCATATCATAACCATACTGGTCAATTAATAACATATCATACATGGGTTCTGTCTACCCCTTCGGTATCTTTCAACCGGTAACTGCCTTCGGTATCTTTCAACCGGTAACCGGGGACTATTTCACCCCTTACCACTATCACATAATAACATATCATGATCATACTGCTAGGCATGCATGGGTACTATCTACCCCTTCGGTATCTTTCAACCGGTAACTATGGGCTATATCACCCCTACCACTACTAACACATATGTCATAGCATCCTAGCACATAAAGCATATCAGATAACAACACACCAGATAATTATCACAAAGACAATCATCTAACAAATAACTCCTACTAGTGGGTCGGCATTCTGGCCGTAGACCCACTCCTACTGGAAGGTAACTCACCTCACACTGCTGAAGTCCCGTAGACACAATCCCACATTGCTAAAGTCCCGCAGACTCAACCCCAGCTGCTGGCTGACAGATTCCCAAACTGTCCACACCAAAATAACACCCAATTAATAATCGGGTTCCACTACATAACCATGAGTACATACTTTGGATAATTACTACATTACCCCAAGCTTGGCTTTATGCAAGCCCAAGGCCCAATTCATAGGCCCAAAGTCGACTAGGACTCAAAGCCCAACATATGGCCTAATTTTCCAAATTGGGCCCAAGCCTATACATGGTCTCATTCTAAGGCCCAACATCATATAATCATTTAGGCCCAAACTATGGCCCCTCTATGGCCCAATTTTCCAAATTGGGCCCAAACCCCTTACATGGGCCTTACCCTAGGCCCATTAAATATTCTAGTCCATTTGCTTGACTTTGGATGGCCCATTAATAACGCAATCATCAAGGCCCAATAGAAGGCCCAACAATACACCCATGTGAAATTAAGGTTTCACATAAAATGACGATTAGGGTTAAGTGTTTCTCACTTAACCCATTAAGGACTTAATCCATTAAGTCCATCATTCTTCTAAATAAGTCATATGGTGTGATTGAGCTTAATCACACAATTCCATTATTCCAATGGCCCACAAGTGGGTCTCAATAAGTCCAAGCCCATAAATCCAATATTAGGGTTTTCTAAACCCTAATTAGGGTTTCCAACCCATCTTAGCCCAATAGGCCCATTATTTAAGTCCTTGGATCCATTAGGGTCCATTAAGCCCATTAGACACATGTTTGGGCTTTTATGCCCATTAAGCCTCATTGGGCCCATTAGGGTTTTAGTCCCTTGACCAAACATCCCCAAACTAGCAATCCCAACACAACTAAGCACACCACCACCCGACACGGCGGCCGGTGGCGGCAGGAGGCGGCAGCCACCACCCTAAGGTGGTGGTTTTCAATTTCTTTTCATTATACTTTAGCTAATTACACTTTACAATGCCTTAACCAACCATAAACAAACACTAACTACATTAAACATACACAATGGTGGTTCATGGCGGCGGCCACCACCCTATGGTGGTGGTGATGCCATTTCCGAGAACTTCAACTACACACACACACCAACAGTGGAAAAACACAGCCACACACACATGCTCTGGTTGTAAAAGGACCCAGCCACCTTCTTGGTGGCGTATGGCAGCCGGCAACGAAGGTTTGGCGATGACAGCCACCACCTCACGGTGGTGGCAGTGGTTTCTCTCAGTTTCCCGTCAAGCAGCAACACACCCCGTGAATCTAAAACAACAGCGCCCTTGAACCCACGTGAGACATGAACTCGACCGCCTCTCGGGTGGCAACGGTGACCGGAGCAACAACACATTGCACAGGCGGCGCTCTAGCGGCAGCAGCGACGACACCGGCATCCCTTGCTCGGAAAACGAACCCAACACCCACCTGTGGTGGGCGGCGATGGCCGCAGCAACTCATGAAGGCGACAGCAGTGATGTAACCGCCGGAAAGAAACGGAGAAAAAAAAGGTGGTGCGAGACCCACAACCAAACTATGGCTGTCACACGCAGTTGGAGCCCCAACGGTGGCAGGTAGACTTCAGAAAACGGTGGCTTCGTCTTCTCGTCGGAAGTTACCGCAGCGGCAGCAGCGAGGCGGGAAGGCATCAGCCTAGAACAACGGCGTCTGGCTGTCTTGCTCGATCGGAAACATGAGTTAGATGAGTGGCGATAGCAGGCCGGCGGCTAGGAGGTATAAGGTGGTGACATCGGTGGAGAGGATGTAAGGGGGTGAAGTTGGCGGCTGTCATAGTTCTCTAGGGTTAGGGTTAGGCAACGATTATATACTCCCAAACCCCATAAGCATTATTTCCATAATGACCGAATTAGCCCCTCCTTCCACCTTTTCTTTCAAAACGAATCCATAACTTACCGTTTAAACCCTCATCATTAAAATTCATTACAAATCAAGTACAATACTTACCAAACAGCCCTCCGTTCTTGATTTTCTTTGCAAAGCCGGTCCAGAAGTTACCCTTTAAGCCCCCAATATCTCAATTATGACATAATCAGCCCTTCCACCTTTTTAAATTAAATTCAAATAATTATCACGGAGCCCCTGCCTTCATAAATAATTATAAACTGAGTCCGAAAATTACACTTTTAACTCTCAACTTCTAAATTATGCCAATTAACTCCTCGAAAACAACACCCTGCGTATATAATTGTTTATTTTAGGGCTACCATTCGTTCACTAATTTATTTATTTAACTAATAAATAAACGGGTGTTACAACTCTCCCCCACTTAAATTAGATTTCGTCCTCGAAATCATTCCTTACCATTACTTATGCGCCAAACCACTCAGGTAGCATGGTCACCACCCTGGGCACACCCTAGTCTTCCCAGGGTAGATGTGACCAATCTTTGCAAAGCCCTAATATCCTCATATGAACGAATTCCTTGCAACAGGGTCACATCTGCTTCGTCTGAATCTACTATCTCGAGATGGTCTGATTCCCTGACAGACCACTCATATTGATTCATCATCGACGAATCCAGTTAGTTTATCCCTCGACCGACTACTCAACATTTAATAGCTCGAAGCTCCCACTATAAAATAGGTTCACAGACCTAATTATCCTTGCAGACCACTAATACTTGGCCAAGGCTCAGATACTCCCGCTGTGAGTGACTTGTCACTCCCCAAATCATCTAACCATCCGTGTGTACTTGCAACCTAAAACACGGATACTAACACTGCCCAAACGCAGAAATTGCTTGAACACTGAACTGCCTGAGGCAGTATGTTGCCACATGGCTACTTCCAAAATCTAACGAGACCTCCCTAGTCTCTATTCGTTCACCCATTATCTGAAATACCGGGTCCCGGCCCAGCTACGGAGTCAAAGGACTCTCACTTAGTCGCCTCACACGACTTCTGAACGAAATCCTTCTCTGAAGCTAGTTGCCACTAGTTACCCTGCCACTGCGACTCTAACAACTTTCTAATCTAACCGATCGGGTCCATGCGTCGAATCCTGTCATCATCAAATCCAAGGCTAAAAGTGATTGCCACCTAACCGATGGTAGCCTTATATCACAAGCAATCTTATACAGTCCATTGCTTTCCTGATCCCATAACTGTAGTGGCGCTAATACAGTCTTATCACTGGCTCAAACAGATCTAATCCATCTGGGTAACACCGAAATCCAATCTGTGGATTTCCATATCCTCACTTGCTGCACCCGAACTGGTGGGTACTACTATTCCTTCCGTGTTCTAACAACACGCTCATTCCATCTACCAACCTAGTGAATGCTACGGCTACACCCGCAGTCTCACGACACTCTATCACTATCTGACCGCTAGTGAATGCTACGGCTACCCCCGTAGTCTTACAACACTTCCCATGCTAACTAACCACTGGTGAATGCTACGGCTACCCCCGTAGTCTTACAACACCTCCCATACTAGTTGATCGCTAGTGAATGCTACGGCTACCCTCGTAGTCTTACAACACTTTCCATACCACCTGATCGCTAGTGAATGCTACGGCTACCCCCATAGTCTTACAACACTTTCCATGATACCTAATCGCTAGTGAATGCTACGGCTACCCCCGCAGTCTTACAACACTTTCCAAACCGGGTCGAACACGCACCCGACCTAACCCTCAACTGAAATTGAGTCCTAACCAGAACTCTAACCTGGTTCCCGAAACCTGCTATCACGTGACCCCACTGTATCAATACCGCACCCATGTCCGTGATCGAAGCGTCACGGTAAACCATGAAATCATCTACACCCTCTGGCAGGGTGAGAATCAGTACCTCGCACAACTGCTGTCTGAGAGCCTCGAAGGCTGCCTGTTGCCCAGGCCCCCATCGAAGGGCCGTCGACTTCTTGGTCAGTCGGGCCCAAAGGACCTATAATCTCGGAGAAGTCCCGTAGAAACCTCCAATTATAACCCGCTAGACCCAGGAAACTCCGAATCTCGGTTGGAGACCTCGGAATCTCCCACTGCATCACTGCCTCTATCTTGGCCGGATCAACGAGAATGCCCTTCTGGTTGACAAGGTGCCCAAGAGATTGCACCTCGCGCAACCAGAACTCACAGTTGGAGAACTTTATAAAAAGTCTCTCCCCCACTTAGATTCGACTAAGCCTTCACATTACATGAGAATTGAGAGATTCCCAATCCTCCTCGCTTTCTAATATCCCACTGATGACAACCTGTGCCTGCCCATGCTAGCGTTTAATCACCGATTAAACCTTGAGATCTCCCATCCTTGGAAATCTCGATGAGTACTCTTGAAATCTGATCCTCTTCTGCTGACATGACCAACCCCGCTACCCTGTAGCAGCCTAAACCCTTGGAGTGACAAACTCCCTCGTGTACCTTCTCGTACGCGCTACACTAACTTAGGCCCTGTTGGCCTTTCACCCGATGATCAGAAGTCATGGGTCTCTTCCCGGGACCCTCTACTATACGCACCTGGCACGCACCTCTCTTTCCAGGGTGCTCCCAAATCGATCCCGCATCTGCAACTCTTGGAAATCATATCCTTCAGGGTCTGACACCTTGTCACGCTCACTAGCTCGCTTGCCAATGGCTAAGCTGCAACAACTGGAACATCCTCTGTCCCCACATTGGGTCACAAACTCTTCCCTGAAGCTTCTTAGATTCTCCAAGACTCTCACTGATTTGAGTATGGATCCTGTGCTTTCAGTAGTACGGGCCTAATACTACCTTCCACACCTATCCATACTTTCCTCAGCAATCCTCCCGAATCCTCCAAGTCACTTCCTCAACTGGTACAACCAAGTCTCACTGAACCTCACTACTAACCCACTGAGCATATCCTAGGATTTCCTAGGTTCCCGTACTCACCCAGTCCTCAGCTGCTAAAGAACTTCCCACTAATGTCAACTAGCTACCTTATGAATATAGCCATTCGCGACTTAGCATATTCACTTAGTAGCTAGCTCACATTACTAAGAGTCCCTCAAAGCACCAAGCAAGCAGCATTCAGACAATGGAAAATCTCACCAACATATTCCAATCAGATTAGTCTATCCTCTTGTTAGGGATCTATACTAGCATGCGATTCTAAGGCTCACACAACCAGGCATAACCTAAACAGGCTATCCTATCACTAACTGATCAGCACTATCATGCAGCTCAGCAAGCACATACAGCAGGCATATAAGGCATCTTCCTAGATCCTTAGCCCTAATCTAGCATGCAGTTATCATAATCATATCATATCATAATGCAACATGTATGGGTATCTTGGGGAAAACTTACTTGAGCTCGGCTGATTGCACGCATCACACACCTTGTTCTTTTCAAAGTTCTTTTCTCCTTCCAAATTCTTTTTATAAAATGATTTTCACCTTTGAAAATTTTCATACGAAGCCCTTAGTTTGAGTTCAGATACACCCAAGAGTGTGCCCGAATCCCTCAAACCAAGGCTCTGATACCAACTTGTAACATCCTAAAATTCAAGGCCAAAAATTTCATTTTTAATTAGGTTATTACATAAAACAAAGTGTGAATAATCAAAATATAATATTATGAAACCATATCAGAGTATAATCCCAAGGATCTCGTGTGCGGAAAACATAGTGTGATGCTCTGCGATCAAGCCGGCTCCTTTCCTTTGCAAACAAAGCACCTGAAACCAAAACTGTAAACCGTAAGCACGAAGCTTAGTGAGTTCCCCCATCATACCACATACCACATAATACCATCGGTATCTTTCAACCGGTAACTACCATTGGTATCTTTCAACCGGTAACCGGGGACTATTTCACCCCTAACATTATCACATAGTAATATATCATAAACATACTGATCACGTACTAACATCATAAACATGTTGATCACATACTAACATCATAAACATGTTGATCACACACTAACATCATAAACAGACAAATAAGCATTGTATGGGTTCTGTATACCCCTTCGGTATCTTTCAACCGGTATCCGCCATCGGTATCTTTCAACCGGTATCCGCCATCAGTATCTTTCAACCGGTATCCGACATCGGTATCTTTCAACCGGTATCCGCCATCGGTATCTTTCAACCGGTATCCGCCATAGATATCTTTCAACCGGTAACCGGGGACTAATTCACCCCCACCACTATCATATAATAACATGTCATAAACATATTGGTTCCATGATAACATAACTAAACATACTGAATCACATAATGGTCAACTATCAATCATAACCATACTGGTCATTAATAACATACCATACATAGGTTATGTCTACCCTTCAGTATCTTCAACCGGTAACTGCCTTCGGTATCTTTCAACCGATAACCGGGGACTATTTCACCCTCTACCACTATCACATTATAACATATCATGATCATACTGCTAGGCATGCATGGGTACTATCTACCCCTTCGGTATCTTTCAACCGGTAACTATGGGCTATATCACCCCTACCACTACTAACACATATGTCATAGCATCCTAGCACATAAAGCATATCAGATAACAACACACCAGATAATTATCACAAAGACAATCATCTAACAAATAACTCCTACTAGTGGGTCGGCATTGTGGCCATAGACCCACTCCTACTGGAAGGTAACTCACCTCACACTGCTGAAGTCCCGTAGACACAATCCCACATTGCTAAA